TTTTTTTTTTTTTTACATTTTCACCTGCCGCTACATGTAACACTCCAAAGAATGATTTCCCTTTTAGTCCAATTTGTTTGTATTGAACTGGTTGCACAGCAGTCATTTTGACATGTCATAGCAGGAGACTCACAGCTGTATTAATGATAACTGCGCACATCAGGGAAGTCACTGTTTTTCTGGTGTAGTGTAGTCAGTGACGGCTGTGCAACCAGTCCAAAAGTTTGGGATATGGATCAGAACTGAAAAACATTCATATATTATTCATTTTCTTTGACAGTTTCTCTCTTCTCTTTCTCTTTAAATTTGAATAGTTGTAAATAAATTGACAGTGATAACTGACACACTGTACATTATTACCAGCAGCACAAGGAGCAGTTTTGCTGTAACCACACAGGAATAAATTGAAGCCCAATCGGACCTGATAACGTGACTCATCCCGTCTGTGCACTCCTGAACCTTGTAAACTATTTTAACTGGGAGTTATAGATATACAGTAAAAAAGAAGCATGATCCTGCAACTCTGAATGCAAGTCATGTGGTCAGAGTGTAGATTATGGGATCAAGGAACAAATCCATAAAGATCACTTGAGAGTCACTGAATGAGGAAAACATCAACTGTAACTATGATATTGGAAATCATGCTCAATCTGTTCAATCATTTATTTATTTTTTATCTCAGTGGACACTCAGACTAGGACGGAATAACATTTCAGTATTTGGGTTAAACTGACTGCAGCAGGTTCAGCTAAATACAGAAAATGAGTACATGAGCTCTAACAAGTGTTCCTATCCTGTGCCACTTGATTATATGAGTAGGATGTTAATTATGTTTCTGAGATGCTTGTCTAATTGTGTAATTGTAAGTAGGTGGAAAAGCAGTGATGGAGGGTGAAGAAGGGTCAAAGCTACTCACTCGGCGGCTGAAGTGGCTTCTTTCTGGAGTTTGGCTCTGGCTGCAGCCGACCGGTTCAAATCTCCTCCTGAAGCAAGAGAGGGAGACGGAGAGATTAAGAAGTGAGTGAGTCTGGAGGTAAGGAGAGGGGTGTGCTGAAGAGTGACGGAGTGAAGTGAAGAGATGTCACTTGAGATGAGTCTGTCTGTTAATTACATGGTATTTACTAGGAAGCTAGATGGTAACAAACTAATGTAAGGAAGGTACCCATAAGAAAATGATAGTAAGTACTAAGTTATTACCAAATAAGTACATGAAAATGTACTCGGAAACTACCAAAAATGTCCTTAAGCACTTATTAAGAAAGTGTGCAAATAAATAGGTAAATAGTAAGTATTTAGTTATTACCCAGTAGGTACATATTACTTGCTAGGTATACCACCACAAATCCATTGGTAAGGCATTACCAAGGAAATAAATCTGTGACAATATGGAAAGGGGAACAGGAGGGAGCGAGGGAAGTGAAGCTTACCTCTGAGATAATCCACAAAGTACAGCAACACCACGGCCATCAGTGCAACTGCAAGAACGAAAAACAATGTGGAAAACCGCAGACAATGTCATTCAAAAGCGTCTAACAGGAGTTTGAAAGACTATAATCTGGTAGACACACACACAAACAGACATAAAAAAATACTGACTGCAGATGCAGATGCAGAAAAACACTTCCAAAACAAGGTATCCTCTGTTGTCCAGGATGGATCCTGCTGCCATAGCAATGAGAGCAAGTCCCAAGTTCTGGATCGACTGCATGCTGGTGGACGAAGGGAACAGATGAACATCAGGTGGCAATGCAAACAGCAACAAAAATGAACAATCACTGTGTGTGTTTTAACTGTGAATAAGTGTGAGATCTGTCATAACATTGTCATTACAGGTACATACAAGCCGTAGGCCGTCCCTAGCTGATGCTCAGGTACCACAAACGCCACCATGGGCCACAGTGCACAGGCCAGTAAGGAGTAGGAGACACCGAGCAGGGACTGGAAAACAAGTAAGAACACCCAATTACTTTCCTGGGTATCATGTACTACCTAAACAAGCTTCTATACTATATAATAGTGCTGTGAAAATATGCATTTAACACCATATTGTGGACACTGAGGAATGGTACTACAGCTAAATGTATGTTTAATTAAATATTCAACTCCTACTATCTAGTAAGAGCTGAATATAGTAGTTTTTACATTAGCTAGAAATACAATCAGTGCTTTAATCTCTTCATGAGCAAACTTCTATTATCCCTACTAACTGGGGCTGGAAGTACACTCATTACACACACATTAATACAAATGATGTGCGCACAGCAAATCCATGGCATTGTGGGACAGAAATGTATTTCCATAATTCAATTCATCCTACAACTGTTTATGAATGTACAAAAGAAAAGTTTTCGGGGGTAAAGCATTACCATGGCGATCCATGGGTTCCAGAAGGTGAAGGCCAGCATCATGTGAGCGGCGAGTGTGGCGACCACGGCGATCATCACCCAAACCACATTCCTCCCCGTCTTATCGACCATTAAGCCCAGAACTGGAGATGCAGGGGCTGAGATGATGTACACAATACTGGGGAGGATAGAGAATGGCATGATGGGTGAATAATGAATAAAACATTTTAAAGGAAAATTAAAAAAAATCCACCATGGTCTCTCACATCAAAATAACAATAGACGAAGTTTGATGATGTTGTGAAATATAGTGTGGGATCATGGGAGTTGTTGTCTTCACCACAAATGAATAACGCAGTTTCACCTTAAAAATCTGTGTTTTCCTGACACTGTTCGGCCCTGAGTTGCTGCTAACGTTAGCTCAGCTTGTTCCTCTAATAATTTAAGATCCAGAAGTTCAATAACCAAAACCGACCGAAGATCTAAAGTCGTAAAAATGTGGCTCAAAACTGAATAAAAAGTCAATTTACAACAGCTTCTGGCAGACCACCATAACACTGACGCAAGCACAAAAGGCTAACAGTAAAATGCACCTTTCCTGGAATTGAACTACAGATTTTTCTAGGTTTGAACTGTTAGAAACATTTGGGAGAACTAGCTAGTACACAACTCAACAAAATATATATCATAGGTTGAGTGTTTAATATAGAAATGTTACATATTAAAGCTTTACATTATGTGGGATTTTAAAAATCTTCTAGTGTTTTACAAGTTTCAGGCAGCGGAAAATTTCTCAACTCTGTTGTTACCACTCTGGAAAAGTAATTTTGCCAGTCATTCATGAAAAAAAAATTCTCCCCACAAAAGGAAATGGAAGATACATCAGCAACAGCACACTATAATGTGTTAGTGCCTTAAGGTAGATTGGTCTCCATGGTCTATTACACCTGATCTGAGTTACCTGTTGACAGCTCTGGCTTCAGCTGGGGAGAAGTTGAATTTTTCAATGAAGAACACCCTGCAAATAAAAAGACAAGATGTCGAGTGCTGCTTAGCCTTTATATTGATGATGTGACCACAAGAGGATGTGAAATTGAGCTGACTCCTGCAGCGGGTAGCTCTCACTCTTCCATACATTGTTTTCCTCCCCATTTGCATAACAACTATTTGCTCTGTAAGCACTGACCCTCTGTGGAAAAAAAACATGTCAGTTGCTAAGTGATTTGAGAGTGCTTTTCAGTGAAGGAAATGCAGGTTGTGATAGCTTCAATTGGTTTCTTTCACAGTAAACCTATTTGTCAAACCTCTTTCCATTTCTGACTCCCTCTCCCTCCCTTTGTGGTTCGATGACAACACAGCATTGTGAGGTTGCGCTGTTGAATCTGTCCTCAGACGCCGTGCCAATTTAATGGAGGTTCTCCATTTAATTCATGCCACAGCATTTAATTATACCACCACCTTGAAGTGAATTGTATTTTATATTTTCTCAAGGATGAGTGATGATCTAGATATTTGAATCAAATAATAAATCAAATATGCTGCTCCATAATTTCAGCATACAACAAAGCACTTCTTTTTTAGAAGTGGTTCATTTTCATTTGTATGATTATAACATTTGTCGTTTTTTCTGTTGGAGTAAAGGTTTGTAGAGTGGCACTCCTTGAAGGATGCATCTAGTGATATTCAAATCCCATGAAAAGATAAAAATCAACAAAGAATTGTGGCTATTAACTGGTAACTAAGGTATTTTTCAACATGGACATTATTTTGGGAATGTAATGAGAAAGCAAATGTGTGTCGGTGTGTGAAATGGCACTGATGGTATACTCACTGTCCCAGTCCAATAAAGGGGAAAATGGCGACATAGTAGGCCACACAAATGATAAAGATGAGCCACAGGGTGATGGGGAAGTCTTTCACGTCTGTCAGCTTGACTACTTCACCTAATATGAAAGATTAAAACACATGCAGCTCAGATTGAGAGCGTTATTTTCTTTCAGCAACTGTAAAAGAAGAACAAGGGCTCCTCTGACAAAAGGCGCCATTAGTTCTAACGGTATAATTACACATTGAAATGTCCCGGTCATTACAGAGAAGCCACGACAGAGGAAGTACTGAAGAGCCAATGAACTGACCTGCCAGAATGTCAATTTTAGGCAGATAGCAACAAAAACAAAACATGGCCTCAAAGTCAAAAGCCCTCTAGTAGTTATTGACGAGTGAGGCCAAAGAGGAAAAACAAAAGATAAAAAAAGGATGTAGTCCTTTTGTCTCAGCACCTGTTTTGCCTTCTTCCTTGTGGAGGATCTTCTCTGCTCTTTTGTCAAGGACCGCCAACACCAAGGCACAGATTAGTGAAAAGAGGCAGGTTACAGCAGCTACAGAGACAGAAAAGAAAGTAAGGAAATGTAAGTCGCAGTAATAACACTTCGACCGCTGACTGCTTCCATTGTTCATCTGAATTTATCTCAAATGGTCTGTTTAAAGTTTATTCAACAGTGGCAGTGGAGACAGACTATAAACGAGAACACACAACTGCAAGGTGTGCAAAACTGAAAGCACCTTTGGCATAACTAAGAAGTAACTTGAGAAAATGATTAAGAGCTGACACTTCCCTGAACTCGTGACTCATCTTTAGCAGCCAGCAGCACTTTTGGTTCTCTATACCACTTCTCTCTGCTGGCTGTGTCATCTGAGATCATTAGTTACACAGAAACGATACAGTATCTCTAGCAGAGACACGTAACCTGAGTCTTAATGTTTAACACTTGCATATTTCAGGTCTTCTCACAGACCCCCAGCTAAATAAAAAAAAGCCTCATATTTACCTATCATGAGTGATGCGCCCAGTGCGGTGTGTCCGGGAGAGCCAACGAGGTCCACCACTTTGCTGTACACCCAGCCCATTATGTTCATGTTCACTGTGCTGCCCTTGAGGCAAGTGCAGAGGAGGGTGAATGGACTTCAGGCATGAATTCACTGTATCTGTGATGTGCTTTTTTGTACAGCATGTATAAGATCGGCTGGCAGAGTCCTTACCACTCGAGCCATGCTCAGCTGAAGGCCAAACACCAGATTTAGCTCCTTTCCTTTGAACCAATTGACTGCATATGTGTTTTGGGCTACAGCCAAGGACTCTCCCCCAATACTGCGCAGGAAAAGAAAACAGGGAGGGGGAGGGTGTAAGGTAAGTGATAGTACAACCTGGGTATAAGATTTAAAACAGAATGACTGATCTTCTGCATCTTCAGTACATATATATACACACATATACACAAGGCTGTCGATAACTGGAGTGTAACTTTGTTTGATTATGTTGGTAAAATGATGATGACACAATGAGAAAAGGTTGAGATTTTCTCACCCAAATACAAAACGTCCAGCTTCCATCAGCCAGAAATGATTCACCAAAGCTCCGGTAGCAAATATTACCTGTACACAGTGGAAACGTTTAAATACAACAACGAAAGCAATCTAACTGCCATCCATTTTCTGTACCTATTGATTCCTATTTAGATAGATAATTATGGATAATTATATTCTCTCTTTTCATGTCAAGACGTCAAAGTAAACCAACCTGTCCAACACAGACAAAGAGGGAAAAGATGATGGTTCCCAGCCTATAACAAAAACAATGAAACATGACAGTGTCTGAGATGAAAGGTACAAAGTTTCACTTTCACTTATGGCAATTAATATATCAAAACACACACTGAACTAAAAATAAATGTGATTTATTGGTCTTTGTACCTGATACCAAAAACCCTGTCGAGAAGAAATCCCCCAAAGAAGCAGAGAAACACGTTGGGCCAGGAGTACCAGGCATACAGCTGCATGAACTTTGCAGTGTTCAGGTTCAGATCCTGGTGCAGTCAGGGAGGAAGCACATCACACTCTTGTTAACTGTTCAAATCTATTCACACAGTACTATACAGTGTGTGGACCTGAAATAAGAACCTCTGGTGGGAGCACAGGAGTCATTTGACTGTTCTGGTTGGATTATTATGCAGATTTCACTCTCTGAACAGATGCTTCCCTAAATGCAGAAACCTACTCTGACTTCTGTGTAAACGTTTTTTTCACTTATGGGGGGGGTCCATATCTCAGCCTGGGATAAATGCGGACTGTTGCATTCGTGGCACAATACTCTGGCTTGTAACTTTGCATTTGCATAGGATGAATTACCTGGATGACTTGAGTTTGAAGAGCTGCCGGGTTGTCATAACAGAAGTAGCTTCCTGGAACAAATGAACTACATTAACACACTATATTCATAACGACACAGCATTTATTTCACACTGCATGAGCCGCAATGGGCAATGAGCTTCCTTTCAAGCAAATGTAACTTATTGAACTCCTCCTGAATGGTTACTGTGGAAGTTTGGGGACTGTTTGCGGAAGTTAATTAGAGGTTGTTTTTTTACTGCTCACCGAATCCCAAGAAGCACATGAATACCAGGACAATCAGTCGGTGCAGTAGGTGGCTGGGGTCGCAGATGGCCCACATCTGTCTGCCGGGTCCTCCGGCTGTGCGTCGGCCGGCGGACGAGCCCTCGTCCCCGTCTCCCAACAGGGTCCGCCGCTCTTCGTAGTCCGCCATGTTCGCTTGTTTGGGATCTGCGGGAGGAAAAGTTGACTGCAGCTCGGAGGATGTAGATCGGTCACATGACCCGCCAGACGTGTCACGTGGCGCTCGCCCTTGTAGCTTGTAGCTTGTTGTAGCCCGCGCTCATCCGTTAGGTTGGTGCAGGCGCGCGACTCCCTGCAGAGAAGCCGAAGCACCTCGCGGGAGCGCGCACAGAAAGCCTTAAGATGTTTCATTGATTTCTGAGAAGACAGATGCCTTCACGGTTAGCAGCCTCTGCCACCGACATAAAAGGGGTACAGTGCATTATTAGATCAACTAGAGATACGCATTTACCCGGAAAAAATAACCGAGATTATGTCCAAATATATCTTTATCTCCTAATTCTGAGAAAATGAAACAGACCTTTGGGAGAAAGAAAAAAGCTTGAGGCAGACATTTAACATTTAGGCACTTAAATGGAAAACTTTCTTGTCTGTCCTCTGTCTCTAGCTTGTGGTTGTGCAGTTTTATGAGGCTGTGATTATCTTAGAGGTCACAGTAGGTCATTTTATACAGTGAGTTAAAGAATGAACTAACTACTATGGGGGCAAACATAATCACACATTTAAACCAATGGGTTCACTGAATCCACAAGAGTTTAAGCTTTCCAGTCATACCAAATTTACACTGTTAAGGGACACCAGTATGCAGAAATACTAAAATACACAGGGACAAAATAACACATTTATAAACTGCATGGTTTATGCTCTGCAAACATGAGAGCAGGCATACTTCACTTTCTTGTCTTCAGAAGGACCACGCCTCATTTTGGGTGACAGAAGTTAATGTGCCAAGTGGTACTATGTCACTATGTGGTACTTCATCACAGGTTAGGTAATGGTGTTACTGAGTAAATGCCGTGTGTGCTGATTGTATCTGTAAACCGGTCCACAGCGAACCAGAAAAGAGTCTCAGTGATGGTGTAACTAAAGCTATGAAACTATGAAAAAGTATGGCCCTACCATAAAACACCTGCTTTTAAAATGGGGTTTGATTTGACAGTCTGGAGCAGGGGGTATTTTAACCTTAATAATTCAGATGAATTGAGCTGACTAATAATGAATCCCAGACAGCATAAAGTAACACAGGCAGTGGGGCTAAAAGTAACATGTTTTCTACTTCTTTCGGCTCATACTTAATCAGCACAAACTGCTCTGAGAGCATTAGTCATTGGTTACCAAAACAGCAGACAGAAAAAATGAGTTCACACTCCTGTGTGAGGGGCAGGGGTGAAAAAAAACAGCTGCATGAGGTTTGGCGCTAGTGGGCAGAAAGTTGTGATGCATTTATGGTAAAAACATACCTCACATCTCTGTAAAAAACAAACAGAGGAAACTATTTAACCACATAGAGTCCAACACATTTTCTAGCATGTAGGGCAGCCTATATGCCACTGCATTGCGTTTTCTTCTCTGGAAAAGCGCTCTAGAGGGCACTTTGTCACGTTTCTTGCACATTATGCCACTGTAGAGGGCACTTGTGTTTTAACTACCATAGGGGGCATCCAAGAGGACACTTGTGCAACATTTAAACTTGGGGGCACCAGGGTGGGTGATCACTCTATAAGGCAATGACATTTTAGAGTCTGACAGTTGTCCTGTGGTTGGTTCTTTTGCCCCTAGTCGCCAAAATTGAATTATATTCATGAGTTTGAGTTTCATTACTTGAGTTTATTTTTTTTTAAATTTTTGTATTTGTGATGATCTAAATCCCTAAAAGAGTAAGGTAAGCCCACTCACTTAATTTGTTTTTCACTCACTGACAGTTTGAACAATTGAACAATGTGTCAAAATGACTTTTTTGACCTAAAGCTTAAGTCTAAGCTCTAATAAGCTGCCTATAAGCCATTTCTCTGTGGCGTCTTGACAAGAAACTGTCCATAAACCTCTACTGATTGGTATCACTGACATGTAGACTTGACAGGTTTCTCTGACATGCGAGCTGTACCACCTTGTTTCATTAGGTCCTCCACATGCATCCAGTTATATAAAACTGTCAGTCCCCACCTCCACCTGCCCACTATTTATCTGGAACTTTTCTGTCCCCAACTTGTGCCTGTGCATACTGCTAGGCAACACTATCTCCAGGGTTTATTTAATTTCCATGAATGTCATTTAGAATTTCTCATAATTCACTACTGCAGGGTCATCTGTCAGAGGATTTAATCTGAGGGTGACGAACGGGCCTTCCCCCGGCTGCAGCCGCCGCTCCGGCCGCTCTGTAGCTCATTAATTTCCTGGCCAAATATCAGCCTCTGTCGTAGCCAACAGAGGGTGGGATGGAGGAAGATCATATTTCATTATTACATTAATCAAACTCACATGCAGACACGATTGTAAATCAGGTGGGAGGTGACATTAATCCTGCAGAACCAGTTTGTGAATATCCCGAAACCCGTCTTCGGGGTGTTGCAGCATTGGAAAAGTCAATTTATTCCAGTTCTATTTTTTCCCCCCTCTTGTTCAGTTCAGAAATGAATGTTGCAATGATGCCACTGCAATATTGTGAAAGGCTATATGCCCAACCTGCAAACAGACTTTGCTAGATTTTGTTAGATTTGGTTTTTGGTTTAAGTGTTAACGCCTAATCGCCCAGAGAGCGATATGAGCCTGCAGTTCCTTCTGGTCTCAATTGTCAAAAGTGCCTCATCACCACCACCACAAATAGAGATTAGCTATTTCTATATGGTTATTTCTTAATGCCCGTCACCAAGTTGGATTCAGTCTGATTCCCCTTGAAATTAATTACATGAGGCAGTAGAAACACTGCTGCTGTTGTCCACAGGGGCTGCCTTTTTATTGTTGCAGCTTCGAAGGTCCAGTGTGTAACATTTAGGTGGAATATAATATTTATATTTATGTTTTCATCGGAATATAAGGATTGTATTTTTTAATCTACAGATGCTGCGGGTCAACTTCTATGGAGTCTGCAATATTGAACCACTGTTTCTACAGTAGCCCAGAACAGACAAACCAGACACTGGCTGTTGATGGGCCTTTTGTGTTTTTTGCTAGTTTCACGGCACACTGTATTTCTCCTGCACAGCCCATTCTAATTACTAGGTCTTCCAATACAGACACCAGCAGTGTTCAGTTCACCACTAGATGCCACTAAATCCTACACGCTGGTCCTTTCAATAAAAATGTATTAACTATTCTTTCTATTTTTATTTCTAATTTTTCTGTGATGCCATATTTTACTTTAGCTTGAACATTTTGTAAAATGTGAATCATAGCAATATCTGTATACACTGTGTACCTAGTGGCAGAGGAACTGGGTTTAGGTGGTTTTAGCCTCCATTCTTATTGGCTGGCTTTTTTTGCACAGTTTGGTGCTGTATGTGCATGCATCTCTGATGTCTTTGTGGGACAAACAGATACAGATCAGAAATGTCATTTCATCACCACAGACCAAGATGCCCTACAAACATCACCTACTATGAGCTCTGTTATTATTACGATTAATTCCCAGCATAAAAATGTAACACCATGCAATTGAAGTAATGAATATATACATTTTATTATTATTATTGTTTGTTATTTGTTATTGTTGATTATTTGTATTACACAGAAGCTATAGCTGTAAGCAGTGTCTATTGCTGTTGTTCCCGGCTCATTTTGTTATCTTTCAGTCCCTGGTCACATTGTGCGTGTGGTATAATCATTGGAGAATATATACAACATGTTTACCCTTTAGCCAAAGTTTGTAAAGGAAAAGTGCAGTTAGAACGAGATTAGAGAGAAGGAAGTGGAAAATGTCAGTAAGCACAATTAAGGAAACATACTGGATGACTTAGCAAACGTGGCAGAAATGCTTGGTTAGTACAGTACTTTCTGTTGTTATAAAACTTCTGGACCACCTCCAGACATGTTTGACGTTTTGATCAAATTGCATTCATTTCACAACCTGTGTCACCAAGATAAAATGCTATTTACAAGTAAAGTAACACATTCTTTCAGGCAGTGTGTCATCCCACCTTGACAGTTACAGTTATTGATTATGTCCCATTGTACATTGTTCAGTCACATTCTTTACACACAGTGTTACTGAGGCATCCCATTATATGACAGTCTGTTGCTCTTGGCTACCTGTGACATCTCCAGCTGAGTTGATGTTGCTGTGGGAGACTCCGCGGCACCTCCGTGGAATGGCTTACGGCACAGTGCGGCTGTCAGTCTTTTCCTGAACACCTTACACAGGAACACATAGATAAGTGGGTCCAGACACACATTTGTGGCCGACAGCCACAGGGTGGTTTCCTTGGCAATATAGAGTGCGTTCTGTGCCCGGCAATGACTCGCCATGCTGCCGGTTTGGGTCAGGGTGTAAGGAACACGGGCAAAGTGAAAAGGGGCGAAGCAGATGAAAAACACCCCCACCACAACAAATACTTTTGCTTTGGTTCTACGACTGGCTGCTTGAGATCTGCTCCTTGAGGCTTTGTATGACTCATAGACCTTCTTGCTGATGAACGTGTAGCAAACCACCATCAAGGCCAGCGTGCCCCAGAAAACCACCTGTAAGCACACATACATTCTCAGCTTTTTTAACAACACATTTTGCTCAGTAGTAGGTGAGTAAATCAAATGTGTTGATATCACAGTGCAGATATGTTCAAGGCATATTCTACAATTTGTGACGGACATTTATTTGCTCTCTCACTGAAAGTTAGATGGGACGATTGATACCACTCTCATGTTGGTACAGTAAATATGAAGCTACTGCTAGTTTAGGTTAGTATAAAGACTGGAAACAGCAGGGAAACAGTTAGCCCGTCTCTGTCCAACTACAAAATCCAGATACCAGCACCTTTAAAGATTTAATTGTAAAAACAACTTTTTCTGGTTTTTGTCTCTGTTCCTGGCCAAGAAATAGTGTGACACATAGTTGTGCACTGTGCTTTTTAAACTTCAGTCTTCTAAAATTAAGCATCTCTTGTATAGATTAAACAAACCTGATGTCACGTGTTGTTTATTGAGCTTTAGTGCTGGTAGATTAGTTTAGTTACCTTTTGACTTATCCCCCTTTTC